AAGGCATACCCACAGGAACCAATCAACCATTCACCTGCATGGGCAGAGCAGACAAGCCAAAGCCCTTTCTCTGGTTAACATCAACCTAGTGGCTGATTAACGGAGGGGCTTCCCTGCTGGCTCAGTTGGTAAAGAATCTGCCTGCAGTGCCGGAGGCCCAGGTTCAATCCCTGGGTCAGGAAGATCCCCTGGAGAAGGGCATGGCAATCCACTGCAGTATTCTTGCCTGGAGAATTCCATGGACAGAGGGGCCTGGTGGGCTACTGCCCATGGGGTCACAAAGAGACACAACTGAGCAAATAATACTTGCACTTTTTCAGCAGCTGAAGACGGGTGGGGAGTTGGAATCAGGCTGAGTTAAAATGCCAGCTTGGCCCCTGCCCAGCTGTATGACTTTACAGATATGGCTTAACCTCTCTCTAAGTTTCTTCAGCTGTCAAAGGAAATAGGAAACTGTTCTGTGGAAATGGATGGAATTCACATGCATCAGTGGTTTAATAGAGTATCTTGGTGTAAAGCAGGCATTCAGAAATGTGATTTCGGGGACTTTCCTAGTGGTCCAATGATTAAAACTGCTTCCACTGCAGGGGGTGTGGGTTCGATCCCTGTCTGGGAAGTAAGATCCCACATGCTGCACAGTGAGGACAACAAATAAAAACAAAATTTAAAAAAGCATGATTTCTGTATATTATCTAGGGTGAAACGGATAACCAGCTCAGGTTGGGTACATGAGACAAGTGCTCGGGCCTGGTGCACTGGGAAGACCCAGAGGGATCGGGTGGAGAGGGAGGTGGGAGGGGGGACTGGGATGGGGAATACATGTAAATCCAGGGCTAATTCATATCAATGTATAACAAAAACTACTGTAATGATGTAAAGTAATTAGCCTCCAACTAATAAAAATTTAAAAAAAAAAAAAAAGCATGATTTCAAATAACGAGTATCATACTTTTCACTTGGAAAAGTGAAAAAGAAGTGCTCCTTGGAAGGAAAGTTATTACCAATGTAGACAGCATACTAAAAAGCAGAGACATTACTTTGCCAACAAAGGTCTGTCTAATCAAGGCTATGGTTTTTCCAGTGGTCATGTACGGATGTGAGAGTTGGACTTTGAAGAAAGCTGAGTGCCGAAGAACTGATGCTTTTGAACTGTGGTGTTGGAGAAAACTCTTGAGAGTCCCTTGGACTGCAATGAGGTCCAACCAGTCCATCCTAAAGGAGATCAGTCCTGGGAGTTCACTGGAAGGACTGATGCTAAAGCTGAAACTCCAATACTTTGGCCATCTGATGCAAAGAGTTGACTCATTGGAAAAGACCCTGATGCTGGGAGGGATTGGGGGCAGGAGAAGGGGACGACAAAGGATGAGATGGTTGGATGGCATCACCGTCTCGATGGACATGAGTTCGAGTAAACTCCGGGAGTTGGTGATGGACAGGGAGGCCTGGTGTGCTGCAGTCCATGGGGTCACAAACAGTTGGACACGACTGAGCGACTGAACTGACACTTTTCACACAATCATGGAATTTAAACAGTTTAATTACTCCTTTGCCTCACACGCTAGATCGCATGACCTACTGAGGGTAAGGACTGAGTTTTGTTTGATTTTGTCCCTGCGGCGCACAGATGCCCGCAGAGTGGAGGGCTGAATAAGGGACTAGCAGAGAAGTGAACAGACACCCAGATTCCGCTGCTCAAGGAGGCAGAGCTCTGGGAATGAGGGGAGTCCTCACGTCTGTGTGTCTCCACCACGAGGCTGTTCCTCTCCCAGGCAGTGGAGTGACCCCACTTCTTTCAGCGAGAAGAAAGGGAGTGTGCCCCAGCTCCTGAGCAAGAAAGGCTTTCTTCTCACTTTGAGTCACTGGATTCCTGACCTTCCTGAGCACTGATGGTCGATTCTACGTGTCCATAGGGCCCATCCGTGGTACCCAGATAGGCAGTCGAACATTATTCTAGATGTTTCTGTGAAAGTGTGCTTCAGAGGAGATTCACGTTTAAACCATGATTTGAATCACGAGTAAAGGTGATTCGCCACAGCATGGGTGGGCCTCGCCCAACCAGTTGAAGATGTGAAAAGAAAAAGACGGACACACACGTTACTCGTCCTCCCCACTCGAAAGAAGGAAGCAGCTGCTCATTCGGTCAGCAGATGGCCTTTGGACTCAAACTGTATCTCTCCCCTGGGTCTCCAGCCTACTAGCCTGACCTGCAGATTTTGGACTTGCTGGCCTCCATATTCACATGAGACAATTCCTTAAAATAAGTCTGTCTACCTCTCTATCTCTTTATACATATGTGTGTGTGTGTGTGTGTGTGTGTGTGTGTGTATGCACACATGTGATCTTATTATCCTGTTGATTCCGTTTCTGTGGAGAATCTGAATTCGCCAAGCCAAGCCAAGTGTCCCCAGTTGTACCAAGAAGTATCAGGCTATTACAGTGTGAGGCAGCACACAGGACTGAAGGAGGCCTCCAGCGTGATCTTATTCCATCCTCTCTCTAGACATTGAGAAACCGAGGCCCAGAGAGGGCAATTATCTGGCTCAGGGTCACACAGCGGGGTGGAGCGGAAGCCAAGAACAGGGAACATCTAAGACCCTCCACGTCCCTCCCACATGAAAACATGAGGCTCTTGGAGTAACATTCAATTTAATTATGTGGATAAACTCAAAGAAAAATAAGACCAGCAGAGGATTTTATTGAGCACTTTTGTGCCAAGCTCTCTGCTGCAGGATTTTATACGCTTATTTCATTTAATCTTCTCAGCAACCCTGCAAGGCAGACATTAGTATCCTCTTTGACAGATAAGCCATGAGTGGGAGAGGGAAAACCGTTCCCCTGGGGCAAAGCTGCTGGCGTTTCTGGAGGTAGGAGGGGAAGGGGATGCGAGCTCCAGCTTCAACCCTAAATTTGAAGCCCTCTTTGCTTAAGATGCTGCAGGAAAGAGCAAGGCTGCAGAGCCAGAGACATCTGGGCTCCTGGGGAGGGAGGCATGTCACGTCATGGCAACCCTCACCCACCGATGATTTTTCATGCCGATGACCTTACTTTGCTGTGAATCTCTAGTTCCTGCACATGTCTCTGCACACAAAGGCTTATTTTGAAGGGAACACCTGTTCCCTAATCGCTCCAGCTGATGCTGCAATCTGCACGGATTGCGATGTTATTTGCTAATGCGCTGGGCTTCTCGGGGACTTGAAGGCACAGCCTGCGAGGGAGGCGGGGGAGTGGATTTTAGTCCTTGTTTGGCAGCCCTTGCCTTGCGGGGGGTGGGAGGGGAAGGCGCAGGATGGGCACGGGGCTCTGAGCCCACATAATCGGATGGGACTCAAATGGAAAATGCACAGGAAAAGAATCTGGTCCTGAAAATAGCCCATTGAGCTGTGAGCAAGTTCACCACTGAGCACCCACCAATAAGCTATTTTATCTGACTCTTGTGAAAGACAGAGATGTCTTCTTTGACACACATCCCCGAAAATAGCCAAGAAAAGAATGGAGGGGAAAAAAAGATACTGTATCTTGCGCCTGCTGTGAGCCTATTTCTGAACTAAAATCCTTTCTAAGATATAGGTATTGTCCCATTTTAGATTGGAGGAGGCTGAATTTTTACAGGGTTAATAGAGTCTGCCACATCACAAAGTATTGAGCAGAGCAGCTATTTGAAAGCATAGCCTTCTCTCTGCCTCTCCAGGCGTAACAGAATCAGACAGGCTGAGAGGATCTACACTGTTCCTCACCCCACACCAGGTCCACGGTTTCTGAAAAGTCCCCGCTTGGCATCCAAGTGTCCATGGAGATGCCGCACTCTCCCCTTGCTCTCTGTCTGCCGTCATATAAGGCAAGGAACCCCTCTGTGACTCAGCGCTCTCACTGCTCAGAGTTCTATGAACATAACCAGGTACTTGGATCAGTCATCCATCCAACACACATTTCCTGAGGGTTAACCACATGTGCCAGGCATGGTGCCAGGCCCTAAGGATGTGGAAGTTGAAGGCATTGGGCTCTGTCCCCTGCTGTCTGGAGTCCAGTGAAGGAAAGACAGAGATGCCTAGAGTTGACTGTAGAGAAAGCATTTGGGAGGGAGAATTTCTTGCTAGGAGATCAGAGAGTACTTCTCTGAGTGGGGTGGCATCTGAATGAGCATTCGAGGATGTGCAAACAGGCACCCAGGAGTTCCTTCAGGGCAGACACCCAATCACCATCACACCCTGTGCTCCCGTGGTCCCAGCAAAGGCCCCTGTCTGGGGATGGAAGTGTCGTCAAAGATGCATTGAATTGATCCACAACCTCTGATATGCCCTGATGTTCCAAACCATGTCTCCGGGAAAACAGAGTCTAAGCTGGAGATTTGCAGGTGAGTCTACAGGGGAGGTCTCAGAGGCAGAGCATACGCAGCAGTGAGAAGCGGCATGGGATAGAGGGAGAAGCTGGGCTGTGATGCGGTCACAGTAGAGCTTTGGTCAAGCCTTGGGGGGTCTGGAGCAGGGCTGGAACTTAGTCATTACAGCAATGAACACACATACTCACCTGTGAGGTTATTAAGTATCAGCAACCCCATTCTATAGGTGGGAAAACTGAGGCTCAGAGAAGTGAGCAAATGAAGGACAGAGCCAGGTTTTGAAATGAGCTTATGGCCAAAGGGTTTTTGAGGTTCCACATGGTCCCGAGGAAGCCCCTTACAATGTGCCACCTGGTCCAGAGGAAGCCCCTTACAATGTGCCCCATGAACTCCATGGAACCATATTTTTCAAGGGGCCATATGACAGGGGTACCATGTGAAGACCCTCCTCTCTGCACTATCCTGGGGCCTGGCATTAGGAATACGTTTGATAAATGTAGCAGCCAACCAAAGAAGGAACGGATGGGCCAACAAGAGACAAGGATGGAGGGAGCAAAGAAACTCCGCGTGGGGCATCTGAAATGAACAGAAGTCTCACAGAGCAGGCACGGCCTGCCAAGTGAGGTCTGCAGTCTTGGGGCCACTGCCCCCATGAAGACATTACCTCTGAGGAGGTCGGCTTGCAGTATCCAGCTCCGAAGACCAGGTTTTCCAGGGAAAGGCTAGACTGCTCTGGTCCTGTGTCTGGGCCGCCTTTCCCAAGCCAGGAGCCTCTTCCTGGGCGAGTAAAACTGTAAAGAAGGGAATTGAAAGAATTGAAAATGTGGCTAATTTTTGTCAAAGGAAGTAGAGGAAAAGATGGGGCCACTGATTCAGCCTCCTTGACGCTGCTGCTGGGGAGCCTGTGAGACGAGCCGATCAGAAGAGATAGCAGGTGGTCCTAGAGGTAAAGAACTGGCCTATCAATGCAGGGGACGGAAGAGATGTGGGTTCAATCCCTGGGTCGGGAAACTCCCCTGGAGGAGGGCATGCAATCCAACTCCAATATTCTTGCCTGGAGAGCCCCACGGACAGAGGAGCCTGGCAGGCTACAGTCCATGGAGTGGCGCGAAGTCGGACACAACTGAAGCGGCTGAGCACGCACACACAGCTCACCCCCAAGGGATGCTTGGGTGGGACATTGATGGGTGCTGCCAGGACAAGTGGGTGTAACTGGCACATGAGCTTTGGGGCCAGGGATGACACGCATCCCACTATGTCTATAAATGCCCACAATCTGCCTGATGAGACGCACGGAGGCAGAGGTGACTTAACCACAGGGGAAGGTAGCATGGGATCCTGATCAGAAAGACAAGGGGAGGCTCCATCTGACATGGTCTGAGTCCTACACCTACTCTTGTCATTGGTACAACCCAGAGTGAAGTCCTTCAACCCCCAGGCCCCTCCCAAACCTCTGTTATGTTGAAGAAGGGAAAACAATATCCACCTCCACGACATGACCACACAGAAGTTTCACAGGATCGTGCATGTCAAAGATTTTCACTGTGTTGACACTAGTTAGAAACTCTGTACCTGTTCCAGGGACAAAAATGCGACCCTGCTCAGCTCTGCAAGTCCTCACAAGGTCAGCGAGCAGAGTGACGGCGACCATCCATTTTAGGGTCAAGGGCGATCAGAAAAGCCCTTGTGAGCTGCTGGTGGTTTAGTTGCTAAGCTGTGTCCGACTCTTGCGATCCCATGGACTGTAGCCTGCCAGGCTCTTCTGTTCATGGGATTCTCCAGGCGAGAACACTGGAGTGGGTTGCTATGCCCTCCTCCAGGGGATCTTCCTGACCCAGGGACTGAACCCCCGTCTCCCGCATCTCCGGCAACTACAGGTGAATGCTTTACCCACTGAGGTCTACCAGGGTTTAAATTCCAGCAGCACCATTTTCCAGCTCCACGGGGAAAGTTTAAAACCTCCCTGTATCCTCATAAGTCAAAAAGGTTGATACCAGCGCCTTAACAGTGGGGTTGTCTGAGGATTCCATGAGTTTAGCCAAGTGAAAGTACAATGTCTGGCAAAGAGCAATGATTCAATAAATGCTAGAAGTTCTTGTCGATAATACCACAAAATCATAAAATCTAACACAACCATTATTCTATTTATATAGCTATTGTTGATAATACCACAAATACAATCCACTGTAATATAATCAAGTCTTGGAATTGTTTAGAACTGAGATTTGAAGCAACTCTGCAGTTGAGCTAGAATGTGGATAAATGGAACACTGCAGTAGAAATGGGGAATTTGTGTATGAGACATGATGCTCATGGCACATTCAGAGGACCGACTGCAAATTAGACACTAGAATAACTCATTGTTGACTTCAGTGTGACCCTGAGCTGCCGAGTCCCTCAGGTGAACTCCAGTTGTACCCAATTGAGGGTAAACACTGAGGGTTAAACAGACCTGAGTCTGTTTCAGGAAAGGATCTTTTAAGGTTAAATTTTCATTCTACTCCTGCTTCTTCCTGGCTGGATTTAACAACTGATGCTAAAACTGCTTTTCTGGAAAAACTGGAGCTTGCCCTACTTGACAGGTATTTCCCATAACCTTAAAGGGTTCCCAACCACTGTGAGTGAACTCATAGGAATCCTTCCTGCAGAACCCAAAGAACAGAAGGCAGCTCTATTTTTACCACCATCCCTGGAGAAGCCTCAACTCGGCTGGTGAATTTCTATCTGCACCACTCTCTGGCAAAGCGCTGTAGACAAACTTGCAAAGAATTATTTCTGTTAGGAGGTTAAACTTTCTACGCAGAGGAGCTGAAATAGCCCCATTAGCAAGCAGAGCCCAGGACGGAGCGCAGCGAACAGATGCGCGCGGTAACTGGGGAAGCACGGCATGGTCACATCAGAAAGCTCTCATTTCCTACACGCTGACCCCAGCAGGGGATCAGGACCCCTCCCCAGCCATGAGTGGGGACTGGAGTCTCCCCCGCCTGCATTGAGAAGTGTCCTGAGAAGGGACATCAGGAAAGTTCCCTTCCAGAAACTGCATAATACAAGATTCCATCCCCAAATATCTCTCTGCTCACGTGTGTAACCTGCACCCTCACGCGTGGGGGAGGTTTGAAGTGAACTGATGTCACTTCTGGTCCTGCCAGGCACTTGGATGAAGATGCCTGGGTACCATAAGACATGCTCATTGTTGTCAGCTTGGTCCCTCTGTCAGGGCATTCATAGAACCTCAGTGCACCTTGAGGCCATGGAGATGCTGGGACAATTCCCTGAAGAGAAAGCTTGGGACCACTCAGGTGGTCCTGCCCTTAAACAAAGAGCCACCGGAGGAGGGGGCAGAAAACTGCATGCCGGGCACTGTCTTCATGTGAGACTCACTAAAACCTATATGGACAAGCCCCATGAGTGTCCTGGCTTAGAGATGGAGAACTGTGTGTCCCAGAGATGTTAGGTGACTTTTCAAATAAGATATGGTTAGAAAGGAGCCAGGTCAGATGGAGGCATCAGGTCACAGCCATTCAGCTCCGAGGTTCTCCACCCAGATCCTCCCCAGGCCCCTGCCCACCTCTGCTCTGCAACTCAGGGAGGCTTGCAGCTGAAATTTTCAGCCTGGGGGTGCTTCACTGGTCTGGGCTGATGTCCCCTGGGCAGCTCTCAGCATCTCAGCCACACAGGAGACTCAAACGTAACAAGGAACCCGAAGCGGCCACCCTCCCCCTGGTACTGCAGGATGTGTAACCTCATACCTGATCAGCGGCTGCTGCAGGGCCACGAGGGCGGCGTGGATGGTCACCGAGATCACTGACAGGTGGAAATAGTCGAACATGACGGGCACCTGGTGATGCAGGCCTCTCCGGGGATGGAAGTGCAGGCCCAGCACACGGCTGCTGATCGCGGGGACCCCGGCCATGTCTCTCAGCCTGGAAGGCAGGCGAGCGGTTTACGTGAGTGGTGCTGGCGTGTCCCTGCCGCCCTCCAGGTGAGTCCACATAGCAACCTTCCCCACACACAAACACTGTGTGTCCATCGGCTTATCCAATCCCTCCCTGCAAAGAACTCTGCTAGGTAAAAACTTTTTTGTTGTCATGATGGGAAAATGAAGCAACCGAGGCTCAGAGATGGAAAGCAACCCCCGGGACCTCACACAGCTGCTATGCGGCAGAGCTGGACTCATACTCTGCTGTCACGGATGCCAAGCTCACCTCGCAGTGATGGAAAGATGCCCACATGCTTTTCCAGGCTTAACAGTGAAGCCCTCCTGGACTGCCCTGTCCCAGCTTGCTCTTGTATTTCCCCCATGGGCCCCCAGCACAGCACTTCCTTGGTACCACTGTGTTTTCTATAAGAGTCCTACCTTTTAAAGGCAAGAACTGTGAATCCCTAACACCAAACACGGAATTGGGCACACAGCAGAAATCATCCAGATATTTGTTTATCAAAAGGGATATGTGACTGAATGAATAAATGACGCCCAAAGAGCAATAGAGTCTGATCAGTTTCATCCAGGATTCCCCCTACCTTTTCTCTAGTGGTGTTTTGTAACTGATGGAGACAGAATTCAGTTATTTGCGGGGTTGGCAGGGGGGGTGTCTCAATATAGCAAAGGACTGAACTGCCTTTAATCTTTCCCACCCTGATGCCGGGGAAGATTGAGGGCAAGAGGAGAAGGGGGGTGGCAGAGGGTGAGATGGTCGGATGGCATCACTGACTCAGTGGACAGGAGTCCGAGCAAACTTCAGAAGAGAGTGAAGGACAGGGAAGCCTGGCGTGCTGCAGCCCATGGGGTTGCAAAGAGTCAGACACAACTGAGCGAATGAACAGCAAAACAACAAGGTGGGAGAAAACAGAGATGAACTGGATAGCATTGAGAAGAAAATGCTTAGGTTCTTATAAAGGAACTAAAAACCAACCCCCAACATCAAACAAGCACAAAACATAGAGAAAGAGCCCTGGTGTTTACCTGGAGGGGAAGAGATGATGTAGAGAGTCTTATGTGTCCAGGCTGAGAACTTTCACATGTGGCTTCAAGGACTGGACCTGAGAGCAGCTAAGGGGAGGTCCCGGGGGCGACCTGTCCCCTGAAGCAGAGGAACGTCCTGATAGGCAGGACTGTCCAGGACAGGGTGGGGTCTGTCGGGGAGAAGTGAGTCCCCCATCCCTGGGCAAGTACATGCTCAAGGCTCTTTGCAGAGCAGCAGTTTCAAATGCGGGATCAGATTAGAGCAGGTTTCCCAGCCTCAGTGATACAGACCCTTGGGAGCTGAACAATGCTCTGCTGGGGAGCAGGGTGCAGTCCTGTGCATCATGGGATGTTTAGGACTATCCCTGGACCCCACCCACTAGAAGCCAGGAGCACCCACTCCCTGCCCAGAGTGACAATCAAAAATGTCCCCAGAGAGACCTCCTGACCATCCAGTGGTTAAGACTCTGAGCTCCCAATTCAGGGCACATGGGTTTGGGTTCCATGCACGCTGTATGACACAGTCAAAAATTAAAATGTGGAAAAAAAATTTAAAGCATGAGAAAACGTCTCCATATTTGGCCAAATTTCCCTGGGGGACAGAATCACCCCACCTACACTGAGAACCACTAGATGGGGTGGACATTCAGAGCCCTTGTGCCCCGACATCACCTGGCGCGCTCCTCTGTTTTGATCCTGCTCAGGCCTAAATGGCTCCAAAAGAAGCTGACTGCCTGGGTCATGTTTCAAAGCCTGAAGTGTACCCCCAGGATGTAATGCAGATGCTTTGTCATTCCTAAACCCAATTTATGAAAATTAAAAAATATGGCATTTCCAATTCCTGCCCGGCCTCTGGCTTCCTGTTCCTCTTTGCTAATCTTATACTCCAAGAAAACACTCTGCTCTGATGGTTATTAAGTGCTTTGTACTATAGGGAGGAAGTGAAACACGGAAACTTGCCCCACATGCATCTAGGAAGCCACAGAGAGGAAGACGGCACTGATCCCTGGGTCACACACTCAGCCTGGCTTAGATATCACCTCTCTTAATCTTCAGAGCAGACCTATGAAGTGCAGAAGCTATAACGAAGCCTGTTTTATAAACGAGACTACTGAGATTTAGAAAAGTGCAAGAATGCACCCAGTGTCTCAGAGTCAATGAGCTCAGAGCCTGCTGCTGAATTATATATACTTTGGGCCAATCTTCGGTACACAGCCTCTCTGCTAACTACTATTTTGATGGCAACAAGGTCACATTTATTGTATCTACCACACCTGATCACGTCCCACCCTGGAGGGCTAGGTAGGGGATGACTTCTAGGCTGAGTTTGGGATCAATGACAGGGTTCTGTGATCCAATGGAAATGTGTGCCAGGGAGCTATGGATGAACACCTCTGAAGGAAGAGGCATAAGAATATAGATCAGGGGTTATTAATAAAATTAATAAAATGAGTGAATGATAGAAACCCTAAAGAGTTGAGAGGGAACATGGGAACCACAGAGACAAGGACTTCACTTCTGAGTCTATAGCTTAGGAAGAAGGCCGACTTTATATGGGGCTTCTGAGTTCCACATGGTGTTAGAACAGTAAGTCCTGGGCATGGAGTGAGGAAGATAAGATTTCTCAAGCATCCACAATCCCATCAAAAGTTAAGCAGAAGTGATGAGAGAAGCAGGTGGCCAGAAGGGCTTGGGGTCCAGATAAAGATAAGCGTGAGGCATCTGTGATGCTGAGCACAGAACCAGTGGCAGGACCATGGACAGGCCCTCCTGCCTGCTGAGCCACGAGGTGTTACCATCCATTTATATCAGCAGGTATCTATTCTCAAAGCAGAAACACAGTCAGGCTTCTAACATTCTAGTCACGGTCCCTCTGATTCAATGCCCCATATTATGAAAGCTCCCATAACAATCAGACACATCTCATGGATGGGACGGTCCTTAAGAAGAGAATCTCTAACAGGGACTCTGAAATTTGAAGGGTTGGGGAACCATTCCACCAGCATCAGTCCCTTGGCCACCTGACCTCCTATTCCCCACTGGAATGAGGTGAAGCATTTGCTGAAGAGGTTATGGAGTTCAGAAGTGAGGATTAATTTGCAGAAAGTGGTCAGACTGTGCTGAAATTGTGCTAATAAAACCGATGGAAAAGAAGCACCTCTGTCTTCACCTTAAGCTTAATCAGGGGAGTCTTCAAGGGGGCATGCCCTGTGTCCCCTAGAATCAAAGGAACACAGGTCCTGGTGCCTGATGTATCCTGCAAAGGTCCTCAGTAAAGAAGCTGAGGGTAGCTGGGACGGCCAAAGAAGAGTGAACCGCAATGGGGTGGGAGTCCCCACCAGCGTGAGATGAGGATGCAAGTGCTGTGATCATTACCCAAGAGCCAGATGTGCATTCCCGGAGAAGAATCTGCCAAAAGAGCTTCCAGCAAGGAGTGAATGACCCCACCATAAGAGGCATCATCATTTCAAAGAACTGGTTGTAGGAAAGGGGAGCCACCTAAAGGGCATAGCTCCCAGGAGTCACAAACACACCCCAAGGGTAGATAAAGCAGCAATCCAGCAGCTACCCTGTGAAGAGTCCTGCCTGCAGCTGAACCCATGAAGCATGACTCCCGGCGCCATCTGCAAGCTCCGCCCTCCTCTGCGTGCCTGACCCGGAGAGGCCCGCACACCCCGGGGGGGAAGGAGGCAGGTTCCGCAAACCCTGCTGCTACAGTGGGACTTTCCCACCCTGAGAAATCTCGGAGCTAGGGTGCCGTGGAACTGAGAGGCAGTGCCGATGAAAAGAAATTACACGTTGAATGATTGAGTTTGGGGAATGCATTCTATTGGACTTTTTCACACCTGAAAAAAGAACTATTTTTGGCATGAAAGAACATAAAACCTGACTGTTTCACCCCTAGGGTAGAAGGAAGAGGCCACAGGGCAAGCTTAAAGGAAGCAGTTATGAGAAAGAGGAGGGTTGCTTCCTTGCTGAATCAGTGGGCTATACATCAGTGGATTTTCAGAGAGTTGAAACATAACAGCAAAAATTCAGTGTAAAGATGAGGATCCTGGCAGAATCTCCTTTGATTCAAAAGGGGCATTGAGGTTTGCAGGCTTATAGGGTCATTAATCTAAAGACCTAATTAATACTGCATTGCAAGTGTATGGGGGTGAGTGCTGGAGATAAGAAGGTGCTAGCGAATAAAGCTGCAAAGTCAGGAGTTGCCTGTGCCTACAGCCTCTGAGAGAGCTGCCTAAAAGGCAAGCAGCTTGAAGTGACCACATAAACATTCCTTGTCCAGGTTTCTTAGGCTGATCAGGAACCAGGTTTCTAAGGAAGGTTCTGAGGTTCAAGGCCATCAAGATACCCTAGAGCTGGAGAAGGGCTGAGTGGAGGAAACTGTACCATCACGCTTGAAGGATTCCAAGGACACTCACTGTTGTTCACTGTCCGTAAAGTGCAAATCCACCTTGAGCTGGAAATCCACTTCACTTACCGCCTCTTCTACCTGGAAGAGAAACAGTGTTTAAGGATTGCAGGAGTCAGATCTGGTCCAGATCAAATACTGAGCTGGTCAATTTTCCAAAGTTAAAAACAAAAAAAAAAGCTCATTGCAAAATAAACATCATTTATGTGTAAAGCGGAATTTCCATGTTCTGTGGAATTCTGGTGGCACAGGCCATCTGTATTACATGGAAAACAGAAGGGATTTATGTAGTCAGATCTCAGGAAAAGTCAATTTACAGGAAAAAAAAAATGTTAAGTGAGCTTTCTAGCTTGTAGGATGGTTGAGAAACTTATTTCCAAAAGAGATTTGATCTGGAAACTTCAGAAGCAGAAGTGAAGTGTTCTCTGGAACCTGCTTTGGAAAAGTGAAAGCAGGGAATTTCCATAGAGGAAACCCCACTTGGTTAGAGATGGAAAAATGATGGGGGTGGCATTATTTCTGGCCCCTTCGAGGGGCTGGCGCTATCCTTCAGGTTCACAGAGGAGGAAATAAAGTCACTTCCCAAGTCAACTCAGGTTCACAAGAAAGCGGACCCTGCATTTTTGTCTTGTGATCCATTACATTTAACCATTTATGCTTTCAGACGCTTCAGCATTTCACATCCTACCTATGACTGTTTCCATTCTCAGCTTTTAAAAATCCATATTCATTAACCAGCATGGGAACCTATTTGTTCTACTTGCCAACTTCTCATGTACATCTAAAAGATGGTGACCCCAGAAGTCACTTGCTAAAAACCAGATCTCACTGATGCCCCCGTTCAGGAAACCCAGATAAGTACTGCATGCCTGGGACAGGTGGCATCTCCTCCTCACCCTCAGGCTGGATGGGACCACAAAACCCCCTTGTTGTTTTGTTTTATTTTTCCTATCTTAGTATTCAATGCTTCCTATAAAATTGTCTCAGCTTTATAACTTTGGGGTTACAAGCCCATGAGACAAATATTAGGTTGGCGAAGAAGTTCATAACATGGTACGTAAAAACCTAAATGAACTTTTTAGCCAACCCAATATTAACTTCTCAATGGACATGAATTTGAGCAAACTCCAGTAGATAGGGGAAGACGGAGGAGCCTGGCGTGCTGCAGTCCGTGGGTTTGCCAAGAGTCAGACACAACTTAGCAACTGAACAACAACAATATTAACTGCAGACACATTCTGTTTAGTCCTCATCGCATTTCTTACTGTGTTTTGAACAAGCAGAAAACACTTAGAAATCAGGCAGTTTTCACATTTTCATCGCAGGTTTCCAGCTTCTGAAAAAATAATCCCCGGATCTGGCCACGCTGAGCTGGCATTCAGAAGCTCCACTTGGCTCAGGGGACTCACTGAGAAAATCCATCTGCCTGTGGCTAAACCCCTCTGGCGGTTCAACGGCCTGGTGTCCCCTGTAATCTGGTATCAATAAGGGAATGACTAGGCTTACTCCGTTCTGGATCCACAGCTCCAGGAACAGTGCCCCCCACGGAGAGAGCGCTCATGAATAAAGGCCGCTCTTCCCCACCCCCATCCCTGGTTTCTGTCTCTTGACAAGAATGCCCTCATTCTGCAGGGGGGGAGTCTCCTACCCAAAAGCCTCTTCAGAAGCATGTTCCTGGTTAAGCATAACTCAGGCAGAGACATATGGATGGAATTTATCTTTAGCTTCCCAGGGTTTTAAAATTTGTGAAAAAAAAATTTTTAAGCACTTCAAAGTTAACATTTTGCTGAATCCGAGTGCTATGAATAACTTCCTCTCCTAGCTTTGTTTTGCATAATCATGCACCCCGCTTTATACACACAACCCAAGCAACTCAGCCTCTTGTCACCAGCTCCTGGGGAGTGAGACTGGCAAAACCAGCCCTCCTAACCACCTCTGAGCATGCATTTGCCTACTGAACAAAAATTCACGGTAGGCTCCAGTTTTAAACTTGCTGCAAGGCTCTTTGGAGCAAAGAGAGAAATTCAGGAGCAGGATCAGCTGTCGCTAGATGGAGCCTGGCTATGACTTCACTGAGGTCCCAATACATCTTCAATTGCAAGATGCTCCAGAAGGCAGTCACTTGTTTCTTGAACCATTCACTTCTCTCATTTCTTCATTACCTGCCTCTCTCTCCAAACACACACACTCACACGTGCATGCATGCACACACGCACACACAAACTTGCCCTTCCATTGCCCTGCCTCATTCTGGTTAAAGAGATGACTTCTTTCCAAGGGTGTTTTTTTTGTTTAATTGAAGAAGAGCTGACTTACAATGTTGTGGTAATTTCTGCTACTTAGCAAAGTGATTCATTTATGTATATATATACATATGTATATATGTGTGTGTATATACACATAAATACATAAATAACATAAAACCATTTTAAAAGAACATAAGAGTACATACATATATGTGTAAAGGATATATAAGTACAACATAAGTAAAAATATAAAAAAAGAATGTGTATATGTATACATTCTTTTTTTACATTTTTTTCATTATAGTTTATCACAGCTTACCGAAATAGTTCTCTGTGCTAGACAGCAGGACCTTGTTGTTTATCCATCCTATACACAGTAGCTTACATCTGCTAACCCCAGCCTCCCAGGAGGGTGACTTTCTAGCACCAGGGGTCAGTTTCATATAGTAGTAGGAACAATAACCTAGCCAGGATTTACAGAAGAGTTACTACGTAGCAGACACTACATAGGACACGTATCACTGCCATACACTATCTTATTTAATGTGGAAATAACTGAAATAAGACATACTGTCCCCACTTACAAATGAAGAAATTGAGACTCGGTGGAGGAAAGTCACTTCCAAGGTTAACTAGTCAGTGGGTCCAAAGCCCAGATTTAGTCAAGGGTTCCTCAGTTCTTCAGTCTTCTCCCACAGTCTAACCGGTGTTGTGGGTTGTACAGTCTAAGGTAACTGATTCAACTCTACTTATAATAGTAACTCTTGTATCTTCTCTTCCCTCATGAACCTCTTTTCTGAGCTGTACCACCGCTGAGGGGATAAGAAAGCAGCTTTGGAAGCCAAGTTACATGGGTGCAGATCGTGCTCTGGCTTTTAGCATCTGTGTGACCTTGGGCCAACCAACCTGTTTGTTTTTCATCTGTAAATTGGGTGTAAAATGATTATGCTTACTCCTTGCATACATGCTAAGTTGCTAAGTCGTGTCTGATTCTTTTGAAACCCCATGGACTGTAGCCCACCAGGTGCCTCTGTCCATGGGATTCTACAGAGAAGTATACTGGAGTGGGTTGCCATGTCCTCCTCCAGGGGATCTTCCCAACTCAAAGGCTGAACCCGAGTTTCCAGGGCTCCTATACTACAGGCAGACTCTTTACTACGGTGCCCACTCAGTGGGGAAGCTCACATTTACCCCACAGATCACTGCTTTTGTGTAACTATGCAAGAAAATGCACAAAAATGTGTGTGAAGAAAGGCCATTATGCACTTACCGTAGCACATGAAATTGTGTGCTGACTGTGTCAGCATTGTCTATGCCTACTGCTCACACCCAGGACTGTGTGCATGTGTGACCACGAACTCTGGCCTCCTGGTCATAAGCAATGCTTTGGCTACCACAAGCAGACATTCCCTAAGGCCAAAACATCCATTCCAGAGATACAGCTTTTATGAACGTATCCAATTAACTCTAATTGTCACTCATCCAGATGCAATGATTAATGATAACACTGTTTGCTGCCATAAAGATTAACCCCAACACAACAATAAATTATTAGCTTGTAAAGATAAGTGATTTTCCACGCAGAAGAAAACACAATGTACCATAGGAACAACGTCTTGTACAAAATGAACACAGGAATAAGTGCCGGCAAACATGCCCTGTTCGCGCTCAGAACTTGGCTTGTGGCAACCTCACGTGATCTCAACTTGAGTGCTGAGTGCAAACCTTGAAAAGATTTGAACTCACAGGGGCAGGAAAGAAAGAGACTCTGATGGAATTCAGAAGGAATAATGACTGAGAGACCTGAGTCATGTCCAAAACTCAGCCTCTAATCATAACCATTCTGCCCAGGAAGCTCTCTGAGATTAGTGTGCTGAAGGACAATGGCCCATGAGAAGTCAAGTGACCTTCACTTAGTAGAATTCAGGGAAGTCAAGCTTGGGCATGCAGCCTAACCGGGAGGCCCTTAGCCCCCAAAACCACCTCCAGTATCTTTTCCTAAATTGCATGTATCCACCAGAGTCCAGGAAAGAAGTAGATGATGAATTCATTTCATTAAACAGAGATTTACAAAGGTGTGGGGAGAACCTAGGGAAAGCAACCAGTGATGATGGCTGGGTACCTTGGGGTTTAGTAACCTTAGGACTCCTCACCACCTCCTCATCCCTACCTCAGGTTCTTTGTTCTAGCTGCACCCTCCTCCAGGGATGCCTGGCTCCAAGGCCTCTGGGCTTTGACTCATACTGTTCCCCCTGTATGGGGATGCCCTTCATCTTTCTCTTAGTCTGATGAAGTCTTAGTCCCAGCATCTCAAAGCCAGCTTCTTTGTGAAGGCATTGATGTCTTCCTGCAGAGTTCATCTCCGTCCTCGGTGCCCTGTGCTCATTTGCAGATGAAGCTGGCACAGTGCATTTCAGCTACCAGTTGCTGTTCAGTTGCTAAGTCGTGTCTGACTCTGCAACCCCATGGACTGCAGCATGCCAGTCCTTCACTGTCACCTGCAGATTGCTCAAAGATTCATGTCCATTGAGTTGGTGATGCTATCTAACCATCTCATCCTCTGCCACCCCCTTCTCCTTTTGCCTTCAATCTTTCCCAACATCAGGGGTTTTTCCAATGAGTCAGCTCTTCACATTAGGTGGCCAAAGTATTGGAGCTTCAGCTTTATCATCAGTCCTTCCCAAGAATATTCAGGGTTGATTCCCCTTAGGATTGACTGGTTTAATCTCCTTGCAGTCTAAGGGGCTCTCAAGAGTCTTCCCCCAGCTACCAGTGCCTGTCTGAATGTCTTTTTTTTTTGATGAAGCATCCATCCTTTGAGGGAGTACTCCTGGTGTCTTCTTCAGCCTTGCCCATCATCTGAGGGCCCACCCCACATCCTTTAAAATTAGGTACCAGCAAATACTTGATTGACCCACTGACAGAGGCCCAGCAAATTAGTCAACAGGATTCACTTGGTACGTGAAACAAGCAAGTAAATTAACAAAAGCATGAGTACAAAACTGACTAAATCAGGAAGTGCAGGAATGCTCTAGAATCCCGAGTCCTAATCTGTCAAATTTCAGAACAAACCTAGAGCATCTTCTTTGCGTCCCATTCTCCTAGCAATGGGGCTTCCCAGGTGGCACAGTGGTAAATAAACCACCTGCCAATAAAGGAGACATCAGAGACATGGGCTGGATCCCTGGGTCAGGAAGATTCCCCTGGAGGAGGGTGTGGCAACCCACTCCAATATTCTTGCCTGGAGAATCCCATGGACTGAGCAGTCTGGCGGACTACAGTCCATATGGTTGCAAAGAGTCAACATCACTGAAGCGACTTGGCCTGCTCCTAGCAATGGACACAAAAGGCACAGGAGGGCTCAGCATTTGTGGCTGGTGGTAGGTTCGGGACTTACCCTTTCACCGTCTAAGAGTAAATGCGCTCGGAAGATCACGGCATCATTGATGGGCACCTCCTCATTCCTGTATAAGATCTGGAAGACCCGGCTGTGCACGGTGCTGTCGTGGACGCAGGCTGAGTGCGGGATGCCACTGTCTGCAAAACAAGAACCCGTAGAAGCCCATGAACGCCCGTCCTGCCCTGGATCCTCAGCCTCCTGGGGTGTCAGTCCAGCTCAAGGAGAGCAATGGCCCCAAACTGCATTTCAACTCCCAAAGACCAAGGTCTACAGATGAAACGACTCCATCATGGAAGATTTATGGTCACCAAATCTCAGAAAGAACATTCTTCAGTCCTTTATAAGTCATAAGAGCTTAGCTAAATCACTTGCCATCACGTGGGCAGTGCTCCTTGGCTGGACAGTGAAAGTGAGACAGTGTTAGCAGCTCAGTTGTGTCCAACTCTTTGCAACCCCATGGACTGTAGCCCACCAAGCTCCTCTGCCCATGGAATTCTCCAGGCAAGAATACTGGAGTGGGCTGCCATTCCCTTCTCCAGGGGATCTTCTCAATGCTGGGATCGAACTTGGGTCTCTCACATTGCAGGCAAATTCTTTACCATCTGAGTCACCAGGGAAGCCCCTGGCTAGAAATTAGTATCTGCTAAATTCTTCTCCTGCTTACACACCCCTTCCTCCACAATGCATCCCTTAATCCTCCTCTCCAAGAAATAATAACACAGAGATAAAGACAGAAATTGACCTTCCTTCTACAGAGACACCCTAGTGCCCACAGAATCTCTCTCTCCTGAAAGTGTGGCTTTTATACCACACAGGATATGAAGGATAATCTGTCTTTCATTTTAGATAAATGTGCTAATTTTCATTATATTAGATATCCAGTTTATTGAGGAACCTGTTCAACTCCATGTCCTCCAATACATTCTGTGTGTGCGCTCCCAGTCGTGCCCAACTCTTGGCGATCCTATACAAGCTCCTCTGTCCATGATCCTATACAGGCTCCTGTCTATGACCCTATACAGGTTACTCTGTTCATGGGATTCCCCAGGCAAGAATACTGGAATGGGTCCTAAATGTACCCTAATCCCTAAACACTGACTCAGAGTTAACTTGAATTTCAGGATCTTCCTGTGTCCACTGATCAGGATTACTATGGAGAGAAAAATGGGTGAATTCCTCCAAATCACTTAAACTGCACAGTTAGAAAAATAGAAATCTCCTTAAATAAATAATGTTTAATATTTATATAAAGCAATCATTATGCATTCATAATAATGGCCAAACAAGTGGTATTTCACAGCTTCCAACATATTTTTCAAATGTGTTTCTTTCCTTAGTCCTTACAGAAAATTGCTGGGGTAAGTCCTCATCACAGATGAAGAGAACAAGGCGAAAAGAGGAGGAGGCAGGTATCCTGTCAGTTGCTATAAGAGGAAGTACTGTGTGGATGCATCCTCAGATCTATCTGTATTACATCTGGAAAGAGAGGTCTCCGGTGAATGAGCAAAATGCACCCATTTCAGACTTCCCTGGTGGCACAGTGGATGGGAGTCTGCCTGTCAATGCAGGGGGCGCAGGTTCGATCCCTGGTCTGGGAGTATTCCACACGCCATGGAGCAATGGCGCCTGTGTGCCTCAATCACTGAGGCTGCCACAGTCACTGAGCCTGCCGCAACCACTGAGCCTGCCGCAACCACTGAGCCTGCCGCAACCACTGAGCCTGCCGCAACCACTGAGCCTGCCGCAACCACTGAGCCTGCCGCAACCACTGAGCCCGCCGCAACCACTGAGGCTGCCGCAACTACTGAGCCTGTCGCAACCACTGAGCCCGCCGCAACTACTGAGCCTGCCGCAACTACTGAGCCTGCTGCAATTACTGAGCCTGCTGCAACTACTGAGCCTGCCTCAATCACTGAGCCTGCCGCAACTACTGATCCTGCCACAACTACTGATCCTGCCGCAACTACTGAGCCTGCCGCAATCACTGAGCCTGCTGCAACTACTGGAGCCGGCCCACCTAGAGCCTGTGCTCTGCACCAAGAGAAGCCACCGCAACGAGAAGCCTGTGCACCGCAATGCAGAGGAGCCCCTGCTCACCGAAACTGAAGCCCACACAGCAACAAAGACCCAGTGCAACCCAAAATGAATACAAACCTCATTTTTAAATGCACCCATTTCTAGCAAAAGGTAAGTTTTCTGTAATGCTCTATGGAGAAACTGAACTAATGTGACTGCAAAAGGAAGCAAGAAAATGTTTTACAACATGAGCTCAGCCAGCAAAGGAAAACAGCTTGAGTGCTTTGTGCAATGTCCCCAGCTGACTCAAAATGTCCCTCAGAAACAGGGACAAAGGGTCATGGTCACAACCCCATGCACAGTGATGCTGCACACCTGCCTTGTCGCTTCAGAGGAGGAGGAAAAAAAAAAAAAGAAATGTAAAATCCCAGGTTGTTTCCACGGCCGCTCAGATTGGCACTTCATCATGAAGGAAATAAAATTACTGGCTCAATGCAGCCCCATTTAGACCTGTTGGATTCAAATTGATGTGGTTTTTAAACAGAAATGATCTTTGTGTGCGAGTCCCTTTCTGTTTTTATTTGCTGCACCAGCCCTTTCTCTATCACTGTCAAAGCCAGGTTGATCTATAAGTCAGACCGACATCGTGGCCGAGGATGGATGGAGTAAATACTCTGAAGGTCAGAGCAACGCAGAGCCGTCTAGTACCTGGAGGGACAGCGAGCAAAACAGTTCAATCACTTGCCTTCTTGGGCGAGTGACATCATCCCTTGTAAGAGCAGCTTTCCACGTGAAAAATGGGCATCTCCACACACTGACCTTCTATGATCAGTGTAGACCAAAGAGGATAAAATAAATCAAGATCTGAAGACCAGGCACGTGGCTGACATGCAAAATGCAGTAGGATGATTTTTCAATTGTGCTGCGGGAAAGGTCATAGCACTTTCTGTTGAATGCATTTCCACTGGCTACATACGTGAGCCTGAGCTCCTCTGATTTTTCAGCAGACTGACAAACAGGACTTAGCAGTATTTGCAGGAGACCCTCACATCCCAAGATGCCCCATTAAGCCCAGGAAGAGGCATTTCTGATGCCCTGTGGGACCTGTGGTGTTTTCTCATCACTAGTAACTAGGGCATAAACAAGTGCCTCAATGCCAAGGAAGGTTCACTGATCACAAGGCACCCTCTGGGCTTGTGGGCATCACGGCGACAGTGCCTGCCAGGCTTTTATCCCACCAGGATTCTCCCTTCTTCGACAATGACAACCCACACTTGGACACCTTTCTTATTAACCTGGCACCCTCTTCCTGACTTTCTGCAAGGCCACTTCATGAATTTTCTATGATTGGCTCTCTTGCTGGGTCACAGAACCTTCCTCAGTAGACAGAGGGTGCTCATTCACACCTGATGTTTCACACCCTCTCATGCACCAAGTACTGGGCACCCAGAGGTGAAGATGGTGCGTGCTCTCTCTCTGTGCTAAAAGACCTTGCTCAGCCTTTGGGAGGCTGCCCCTTCCTAGCTGTGGGGTAGAAAGTCACTTTTCTCTTTCATCTGTTTTTTGTTGCTGAAATGACACTCATTTCCTTTTTCTACACTTTAATACTTTTACATTAGTGAAAAGAACATGTCTTGGCATATCCCAAGTGTTATTTCAAATATTCTGACTCACTTTTTTCTTAATTTTGCTGGAATATAGTAGATTTACAATGTCATGTTAGTTTCAGGGGTAGAGTAAAGTGATTCTGTTATACATATACATATATTCATCTTTTTTTGATTATTTTCCCATATAGATTAGTCTAGAATATTGAGTTCCTCATGCTATAGCAGTCTCACTGGTCATCCATTCTATATACAGTAGTGTGTGTAAATTAATCCCAGGCTCCTAATTTATCCCTCCCAGCCATATTTCACCTTTGTTAACCATAAGTTTGTCTTCAAAATTTGTGTTTATTTTTATAAATAAGTGCATTTGTCTCATTTTAATTAGATTCTATATATAAATGATAGTATGTGATATTTGTCTTTCTCTGACTTACTTCACTATCACCAAGTCACAGAAGCAGCCTGAACGGCCACCAACAGAGGAACGGATGAAGACGACGTGATACAAACACACAATGGAGTATTTCACGAGTGCTCAGTCATGTTCAACTCTGCAACTCCATGGACTGGGCCTGCCAGGCTCCTCTGTCCATGGGATTTTCCCACCAACAGTATTAGATTAGGTTGCCATTTCCTCCTCCAGGGAATCTCCCTGACCCAGGGATCAAACCCTCATCTCCTGCATTGCAGGTGGATTGTGTACCTCTGAACCACCAGAGAAGCCACAATGGAATATTACTCGGCCATAAAAAATGAAATAATGCCATTTGCAGCAACATGGATAGACCTAGAGATTATCTTTAGACTGCTTTTTGCATATTTGGTGACCAGACCACTGGTCCAATGAGAAGATATAGCTTAGAGTCTTCCCAAATATGTGTCTTATTTTTTACATGTCAGGATCAATATCATGGATGAGGATACAAAAGGAGAGTTATAACTTTGAGGGGAAACAAGATTGATGGAAAGAAGGTGGGTGAATCAAGAGAAGGAAACAAAAGGAAGGGGAGATGAGTAGAAAGAAAGGAGCAGGTAGATGAAGGAGAGGAGCTTTCCAATGACTCCCACTGTCCAAAGAATACATTTCAAATAGTTCAATCTGGAACTTCAAACCAGAAAGCAATGGTAAAACACTTTCTGCTCTTTCTTTGCCCCCCAAGTGAGTGATATCAATACTTTGCATATTTATGTGCCTCTAAATGCCTACAACTCAAACAACCACCTTCCCTCTTCAGAGACACCCTTCCAGCCCCACATGGCTCTGAGAGCACAGATTACAAAGCACAGGCGCTGCTGATCTGGCACAGACCCTCTGTCCCTGAGTCCAAGCCAGGATGCTCTCAAGGGCATTGACTTGTGGTCTGAACTCCCTCTCCCACTCCAAGCAGATGGCCACGACTCTGCCTGCACACAGGAGACCCCCAGAGAATCAGGTCTGTGCTGAGCAGTCAAAACTCTGGGGGAAACCCTTCCAACCCTCCAGGCCTGAATATGTCTGGGTGAGGTCTAGG